CCGCTCAGAAGGTCTTGGAGATCTGCTTCTGAAAAATCACCCATTGAACCCTGGAGCCAGGTCTACTCTGAAATAGGGAGTGTTGACTGGACAGCAATTGTTTTTAACATTTTGTCTAAAGAAAGCATCACAGAAACACAAAAGTGTCGGGAGAAGAAGAAAACTGTACGTTTGAAATGTCACCTGACTTGACCAGTTGCTTGGCCGTGTCACCTTCCTGTGGCCAAGGCTGTGCTGGCTGGCTGGTGAGACCATCATCCAAGAGCTCTTAGTAGACACGATCAACTGCTTCGGACAGGAGCCCTGGGACACCAGGGCCAGGGAAAGAGGCTGTCTGTCATTGTCCCAAATACTGGCCCCTGGAGGCAGGCTGTGAGGACCGCTTGGCTGCTTCTCCCTAAGGGCAGGGGGCTGTATACTCAGCTGTTTCCCCTTTACAGTAATAGACCTTTTCCAGAGTGTGGCGGTGGTGAATGCCCCTTCTCTGTTGCTGCAAAACCCACTCCCCATTTTTATCTGTGGCAACCCTCCCTCCTGAGTTATAGAGCACTCCCAACCAGACTCAGTGTGTAGGGAGGGCTCCCCTCTGCCCTCCCTCTGTCCATTCATGGCAGACAGACAGATGGACGGACACCAGATCCTCCCAAAGTGCGCTCGCCCCCTTAGAATCTGCAGTGAAACTTACAGATGGACATGGATTTATGGACGATGAGGATCGGGCAAGCAATGCTAATTACCCATGTGCTTTTTATTATTTTAAAAATCAGTATTATGAAATTTTGACTCACGTTAGAAATGTTGCACCACTTGATTGGTAGCGAGAAAATGTGCCTAGAACATATACACAGCATACTTATTTGTGGGAGGATAAGATGGTGTGAGGCGTTTTAGGTTTGTTTTTGGTTTATTTTGCTTCGCTTTGCTTTTCCTTATTGCTTATCGGCGATTTGCTCTTTGCAATGGTCATTTTCTCTTGTGGATTGAATTACAAAGCAACTACCTTGTTTATTCTCCTGCTGATTGGTGAAATCTGTTTCCTAGGGTGCCCTCTCTCTAGGACCCCCACCCCCACCCCCAACACACACACACACACACACACACACACACACACACACACACACACCTGCATCAGGGATTGAACTGCAGCTTTGGGGTTAGTCAGCTCAGAGTCCAATACCTGTTTTTGTCACTTCGCCTGCATGGTCTTGGGTAAGTGACAGACCTTCTCTAAGCACTGGCTGCTTGTCCGTAGAACGGACCAGAAGTAATTTTGCCCCGTGGGCCGATGGGAGTGGTAAGTGGCGGCCTGAGAACACAATACGTGGCCCTTCCTGTCAGTGGTGGAAGCTGGCATCCAGCCTTGCAGGTGGGCAACTTCTGATTGGCCGGCTGTGTTTCTAAGGGGTGGAGCTAAAGTACACGTGGACTCAGTGGTGTGTGTGTGTGTGTGTGTGTGTGTGTGTGTGTGTGCATGCTCGCGTGCGCACGCATGCACATGCATCCACGTGCGGGCACACACACTCGCACACCTTGCTTTGTGTGGTTGCAGGGTGCTCCTCACCTTTCTGTGGGCAGTGCCCGTCGGTTCCCCAGGGCAGTGGCAGGCTAACCTGGGTCTTCCAGCTGCGTGCCTGCTGCTGCGGCCGCTGCTGCCTTGGAAACCCTGACTGGAGCCACACATCCTAAAATGAAATGAAGGCCCAGCCCAGCCCAGCACGAGTCTCGTGCCCCGGGGGGGCGGGCCGGCCAAGGGTGAGTCATGCTTTTGTACCGTGTGTTTACTCTGCTGGAACATCCCGGAGCTAGTGGGCAGAGCGGGCATCCGCATGCAAAGCGGGAGCCAGGCACCACCCTCTGCGCTCTGGCCCTCCCTCCTCCGTCATCCTCTGCCCTCCCCCCCACAAGCCCCCGTCCTCTGGTCTTTTTCACGGCAGTTGATTTTCAAACTTGAGTTTGCAAATGATCACCTTGGAAACTCAATAAAATGCAGATTCTTGGGCTCCTCCCCCAGAATATTAATTCAGTGGGTGCGGGACGAGGCCCAGACACCTGCACTTTCCCACACCTGGGAGGAAGATCCAGCTGATCAGTTTGGGACCCTGCCTGTGTGTCTATGGTCTATAAAAGAGTCCAAGAACTAATGTAGAGTATAGATCCTTTAAAAACATTAAATTGTAAGAGAGGGAAAAAAGTGTGGGTCGGTGCTCAAAATCATTGAAAATGACCGAGCTTCTGTTGTGGCTGAGACTGGGGAGCTCTGCCCTGTAGTCACCCTTCAGGTCTGGGAAACAGGCCCACCCGGAGGCTTAGCTTTCGACCAAACCATCGACCTACAGGGTGGTGGAAAACACGAGGGAGGGAGGCTCTCCTCAGAACCACCGGCCGCACAAGAGACCCTAAGAGCAGCCTTTGTCAGACGATGCCCATTGCTGAGGGGCTTCACCTCGGACGCAGCCCTGTCCCCCTTTCCTCTCCTTCCCTTGGGGCAGGGGCCAGGTCTGGCTGGACACAGGAGACCACAGTGGGGAGACACCCAAGGCCCATCTTGGCGTGAGACAGAGTCCTCTCGTCCAGCCTTCTCCCAGGCTGTGTGACCTTGAATGAGTCCCTCAGTGTCCCTGATGGTGACATCTGGGCCCTGAAGTAAAGTGTTTTCCGTCTTCCGGACATGAAATGCTATGAGAGATAAAGTCCTCTGGGGCCAGCGTTCTCAGAGTGGGGTCCATGGTGAGGGAGAGAGGGAGTCATCATCAGCATGAGTCCCAAGCCGACAGAGCCCCTTCATGTGGTCATCAGACCACACCCCCTCTCTGCAATCCCACCCTCCCTCCCATGGCACCTTCCACTTTTCTGGGCTCAGTGACGAACCCAGATTCTATGATTCTCTATCGAGTTCACGGATTCCTTGCAGTGGTCACCTAGAATCCAGACATTACTCAACCACTTTGGGGTTTGTTGGGGAACAATAAGCATACCACTCACGATCAGAAATGACTCAGTACCCTTGAGTCAGAATAGCCTTTGCTCAGCCAAGCCTGCCGGCCAGTGTCTCACTGGCTCTCAGCTCCTTGAACCTTTTGGGCCATCCTGTCCTCTGTCCTACTCAGACAAGGGTTACAAAGTTCTTTGGCTCCGTCACTCAGTGTTCAGGGATGCTCTACTCTGCCAGTAAGCTTCGGTCCAAGTGCTCAGCTCCTGCTCCATGGGCCAAGAAGCCCGCATCTTGCCAATCTCCTGGTTCTGCTGCCTCTGGGATAGCTCATTTAAAAACTGGTAGAATGGCAAAACTGACCACTCCCCTTGTTAGAGTTTCATTCACCTTATGAGCATGGTCCCACTACCACAAAGTTGCAATGCACCATAACTTGCATTCATAGCGCATTGTCCAGTGCCCTTGGTCAGCCACAAATACCTTATTTACATAGCCCTCCCCAATCCCCTGGCATTTTCTAACTGGCATCTTTCTCTAGCCTGTCTCCACTTCCGGGGCTGCCCTCACCCCCTCTGCTCCCTAGTACATGCTCCTCTGCCCGACTTTCAAACTCCCCAGAGTTCTAGGCCCAACACTCCCCCACAGCCCTCCACTTCCCAGGCTAACTACCCAGGCTCCTTGCTGACCATGGAGCCAGCACCCCTTCTCACCTGCAGGCTCTCATCTGACTGTCCCCTCCTGGTTACTCTCCCACCCCTCACCTGTGTGGACCTGTGACCCTCTTTCCAGTGGCTTTCAAACAACGTCTCTGCTAGGCATTTCCCACACGCAGTTCATCTTCCCCGGCCTCATTAGTCCATACTCCATTTCTGGGTGGTTATCTAGGCCAACTCCCTAGTAGGTTATACACTCAAGGAATGGGCCTGGCCAGATAATAATTTGTTACTATAATATATGGGGGTGGAATAGATAATAGGCTCTTGAGAAATGCACTTTCAAAGGTTGGGGTGTGGTCAGGGAACTCGGTGGAAAAACCAAAGCAGAGTCACATGAGAGCCGTCTGGTTCTCTCTCAGCCCCCAGCCCACCTGTACCACTGCCCCCACACCCCACCATGCCAGCTTCCCCTGCATGGTCACACAGGTCAAGTGCTCCTGGCACGCCCGGAAGCAGCATGTTCCCCCCACTCTCAGTCCATTCATTCATGGTCATAGACCATGACTGTGACCATGACCATGGAGTGGGCAAGGGAAGGGATAGGAAGGATGTTGGGAAGGATGTTTAAAAGGCTTTAGTGGAGTCCAAATCTGGTCTGGGGTCCTGGGGGAGGCTTCCCGGGACATTTGTTGCTTGAGAAGAGCCCTGAAGCAAGTGTGGAGGTTTTCCTGATTGCAGGCTGGGGACAAGGGCCAGAGGGCAGGTTCAGGGGCTGGAGAACAGGGTCCCCAGGGCAGGGCGAGTGGTGGGAGCTCCAAGAAGGCCCCTCTTTTTCCCTCCCCTGTAGCAGACAGTCCTACCATTTTGTTTTTGACCCTCATCCCAGTTAAACATCATCGCCCCATGCATGGCAGGCAGTGTCGGGCTCCTCAGTTAGGAGGAGTGCTCCTGGGTGCAGCTGCTATGCCCACGAGGAAGCCGAGGCCTCTGGGGCATGGCAGCTGCACCCAGGGCACCCCATGAGCCCCCAGCTCAGGCTCCAGCCAGCATCTCTGATGGGCTCACCACTGCAGGCTCTTTTGGGGAGGCTAATCCCCACCTACGAACATAACAACGTTCACAACGGGCTTCTGGCCCCCACCCCAGACCTTCTTCCCTTTAAAATGTTTCATTTCATTTTATTTTATTTTGGAAGCCTCTTCTGGTCAGGGTCCAGGATGGGCTATGCCCTGGGCCAGGTCACATTACACAATGTAGCATCCCTGTAATCCCTCTCCACTTAAAGCACCTCCCTCCCCGCCTGAGTTTGCTTCATACCTGTGTACTCTCAGACCCCCGTCCTATTCTGACTGGGTATCTGGTTTAAATGAGAGTTGGCTGAGGGTTTCATTTTGCTTTTTTTCTCATTTCAGATCCAGTCTAGTTCAAAGGAAGGACTGCCTGCCTCTACCTCCCCCCAGTGAAGGTCCCGCGGCGCCCCTGCTGATGGGCACAGGTTCTTAGACAATTGCTCATGAGTTCTCGCCCTCTGGACTCAGAGAGAGCTGAGCTGGTGGGACACATACTCAGGCTTCACTGCAGAAGCTGTGCAAAATGACTGGGCCAGTTTACACAGCCAGGGCTCTGCCCAGGGCTCTGTGTACCCTCATCCTTGTGGGCTGGGCAACTCAGCCATGCCAGCACTGTCCTAGCCTCTCTGGGCTTCTCCTTCATGCTACCAATGTCACTCACCCACCAACACACTCCGAGCTATTCATTCTTCTCTGTGACAAGGAGGTTGTCCCTCTGAAGTCCCAATGGAGGTCTCCTATGTCTCCGTGGCCAGAGCTGGGCCAGGGATCCTCTCAACCAATCCCTGACCAAGATCCTAGGTCACCTGACTGTGTTCCTCCTGCCCCTGGCAGCACTGGCTGGCTGCCTAGTACTGCTTTAGAACTTGGACTGTCTTTATCCTGAAGAAGAGAGCCATGATTGATGTGCTAGCCGGCAACCCAGCGGAGACACACAGTACAGTTGATTCCAACTCAGCGACCCTGCACAGCAGAGTAGAACCGCTCTGTTAGAGGGGCTGAAGCTGCCATCCTGGTGGGAATTGGCTGCCACATCTTTCTCCCTCTGAGTGGCTGATGGATTCAAGCCGCTGACCTTTTGGTTAGCAGCCAGTTCAGGGCTCCTTTAAGACTCATGCACCAGTGTTTAACTATGCCTGCGTTTTTGAGTGCGCGCTGCTACTCCTGTGAATGTCCAAGGGGTGGTCTTCAAATCCCTGTCGTTAACCATTGGCTGAGAGTACCAGACGCATAAGTCAGCCAGCTCATGCCCAAGGTCTTAGGGATTAGCCCTGCCCCTCTCAGAGTGGAAGCCTGGCCGTCCTCTTGCTAGGTCAGACCTGTACCCCACCCCAGCCGCCCAGTTTCTGTTTCCCGGGGGATCCCTGAGAGAGGGCTTTCTAGCTCTACAGGCCAGAGCGAGTATGGAAGGCTTGCCTTGAGAGCAGGGACCCAGGTAGGGTGCCAGCTGAGGACAGGTGGAATGAACCCCTGCCGGGAAGGTACTGCTTCCCCTTCCCACCAGCCACACAGAGACCACAGTTACCCTGTGCTCTGGGCTAACGCAGGAAAGTGTCCTGAATGACACTTTATACACCCCACCACCTGACTGTCGTACTGTGGTGGCTTGCAGGTCGCTATGATGATGGCACCTGTGTTACATGTGTTTTAGACACCAGGAGGTTCGCCCATGGCGGACAGGTTTCAGCGGAGCTTCCAGACTAAGACAGACTATGAAGAAGAACCTGGAGATCCAACTCACAGAAAGTCACCCAATGAGAACCTTGAGATCATAGGAGGATACTGTCCGATGGGGTGTGGGCAGTGAGCCCCTTGCGTGAGAGAGTACCCACACCAGGCCTGGGAAGGGTTTGCAGAGAGCTATGGATGACCGTGGAAACCCCAAGTCCATTTGCAGAGACCCCACGCATGTTAAGCCTCCATTGAATCCCCTTGGACCATTGACCAGACAGAAGGATTACTGCAGATCGAGTCGCGTCAACTGTTAACCTCTGACCCTTTGTTTCCCTTTTCAGCCCGTTCTTGATCAGCTCTAGTGCTTATGGTTTTTCTGCTTTCTTTTGGATTATTCTGTCTTTTGTTTTGTTATCGCAGTTGGCTTTCTTTTTGTTTGGGTATGATTTTTTTTAATACAAAATCCAGGATCTGTAAATCAATAGAAACAGTAACTAGATGAACAGCTTTGCCATGTTATGGCAGGGGAAATTAGAGGAAACAAGGAACCAATTAATAATGACAAGAATGAAGAAAATGTTCTGTAATCGACTGTGGTGACGATGGCACGGCACTCTTGAAACACATTTGAGCTATTTCATTGTATGATAAATGACTTACATGTCAATAAAACTTTAAAAAAGAAAAGAAAGACTTAACAACCATATAAACTTAAAAGACTGGAGAGGAGCTGCCTCCACAAAGCATGACGTCCTGAGGAGGGACTGATACCCACTGAAGGACATCATGCTTGCTCAAATTGGGGTGGGGTGGGGGCTGAAGAAAGAGACAAGGCTCCTCAATGAGTTGAGTTGGCACAACATTGCCTTCTGCTAAACACAGGAACCGGGCAACGCGGTATACTGTCATACACATGGTGAGTCAGCCAACAGGCAGCAGCCACAGCATCCAACCTCTTACTCAGAGGAAATGGATAACTTTCTTTATGGCAGGTGGCCCACTGTACATTTTACTTCTGTAATCTCACTCTGCCCACTGGACCGTCCTGTGAGGTGAGAAGGCCTTAACTAAGGGAGCACTTCTGTATCAGTGGTTAAAGCACAGGCTCAAATCCAACTTCCCGGAACCCCGGGTCCAACCTCTGCTGACTCTGTGGTCCTGGGCGAGTGATGTCACCTTTCTGTGTTGCAGCTGTTTGGACACAGGAGATAATGACCGGATGTTCAGGCGGCTCAGTGCGTGATCAAGTGCTGAGAATGACCCTGGCATAGAGGATGTGCCTGAGTCCCCATGCTCCCTGAGATGCTGGCTAGAAGTTCCACCGACGGGGTCTCATTTGATGGGCTTGGCCCCTTTATTAGTCTGGGTACTTTGGAGAAACAAATCCACAGCAACTCATGTATAAGAGAGCGTTTTATGTAAAGAAAATGTGCATCACGAAAACATCCCAACCCAATGCTGCC